AGACCACCAAATGATACTGATGAATTTAGTGAGAAACTTTACAATGAGATTAAGATTTTAGCTGTTAATGAAATTGTAATTATGGGTGATTTCAATTTCTGGCACATAGATTGGGAAATGCTAGAGTCAAACCTTGAGGGAGAAAGTTTTTGGAAACTCTGCAAGATGGCTTTCTTCACCAATTAGTCAAGGAACCTACCAGAAACAATGCTATTTTAGATTTATTGTTAACTTCAAATGTAGAAATAACTGAGAGGGTGCACGTGATCATTGCTCTAGTAGGTTCAATGTTTTGCTGCATATGGAGATAAGGAATAATGATACTTTGGTAACAGGTTTAAAAATGACAAATTTTGAGAAGATGTGACAAGAATTGTCTGTTGTGAATTGGGCAGCTGAGTTATTTGGAGACAGTAATCAAATGTGTAAAATTTTTAAAGATACATTTTGAAATATTCATTGTAAACATATTCGTTATAGAAAGAAAAGGGTAGCTGCAAGTTAAAAACCAGATGAGCTCACAAAAAGTATAAAAGATAAATTAAAAATTTAAATAAATTTAAATTTATCATAAATTTAAGAAATTTAAATTCACTGGTATGACAAAAGAGAAAATCGAGAAAGTTGGTGTAACAGGAAATTAGGACATCAAAAAGGATGTATGAGAAAAGGTTATATGAAAATGTAAAAATTAACAGTAAGGACTTCTTTAAATACATTAAGGTAAACAAAATGTTAGGATGGGGTAGGACCTTTGAGGGATGATAATGAAAGGCTAGTGTCTTATGATTGAGATAGCTGGCTTATTAAATTTTGCTTTTTTCTTCAGCTTTTACTAATGCAGATTTAAGTAGTGTTCCACACCCTGAACAGTTGATAGATGGAAACAAGATCGAACAAGATGACTGCAATAAGAGTAAGCTTTTTAAGGAAAAATTGGAAAGTTTAAAGAATGATAAGGCTCCCGGGCCAGATAATATTTTCCCAACAGTTTTGAAGGAGGTTGAAGATTGGATGTGTGAGCCACTTGCTACAATTTATGTAATGGAAGAATGAAATTCATGACTATTTTGGTCATTACAGTTTTTGATTCTAAACTATTTATGGTATTCACATGTACCATATAAAGATATATTTCTAAAGACATGCAGTCATAAAAATGATTTATTGTTCACCAATACATAATAAAACTAAGTGATTATACATTAATGTAGAGAACATACCATCACACTAAATTGTTTTTTTGACACACAGGTTTTAAGATACATTTTTCCAATTAGTTTTTATATGATACTTTATATACAAATTACATACATATTACATTTTGGTGTGAAATATAGAAGGAAAATGTTTATGCGCTCACTATTTATCACATTTGTTATAAAATGAAGTTAAGAACATACTAATAACCAGACCATACTGAAAATAGTTACAAGTTTATACAGGTACAACAAATATATTAAAGTACAGTTATATAGTAACATTAAGGGAAGAATACATCAGACACTGGAGATACAACAAGCTCTTAAGACCTTCAAATTTTGTTGTTAAGTCTTACATTAGTAGACAAAAGCATTGAGTACTTTAATTTTCTTAAACCCATAAACATAGGTAGTACAGTTAGTCTTCATATCATCAACTATGTATTTCACATTTCAAGCCATTATACAGCACTTCCTATTTTTCTTCATTGTAGTTCTTACTTATACATTCATATTGTGATGTCTAAGAAACTTGCAAGTGCTGTAACTGTCATCGCTCTTCAGCTGCATCGCTCCATCATTCTAACTTGGCTTGAATCACTATCATGCCATATAAATAGTCCACACATTTCAACACTAAACTTGCTTATATTTATTGCACTCTACTCAGTAAAATGTCCTAGGCTTTCCCATATTCATCAAACATATTTTGGGTCATTAACATAACATTAAACAACAAGGGACATAAACTAAAGCCTAAAGAGAACACCTCAGAAATAGCCCTTATCATAAACTTTTGATAAACTGGAAGGCTTACTTCAGATGTAAATAAATCATTTCTCAGAATATGATGATTTGTTTATGTGTTGGATTTTGAGTGTTCTCTGTGCTAGCCATCCCTAATTTTCAAGCTAGAATATAATGAAGGCAGCAACACAACACCTACCACAAACTTTTGGATTACTCTTGTCAGACCTAATGGTAATATATGACCATCATGTTTATAATACACACACACACACACACATTCTCAAAGTTCAGAATATGATTTTTTTGTAGTAACAGGACAAACCATGGAACCTCAGCTCCACATTCCAGCACACCACTGAATGGGCAACAGTTGGCCCTAAAATTGGAGAAGTTCTTGAGTTTTAGAACATAAATAATGCAAGAAAGATTCAGATGAATTCACTTGGTTAATCTTGTTAAGATAACACAGTGTAATCGAAAAACTTATTGAAAACTCACAGTGAACTAGTTAAGAATGATGCATTTACAATAACCAATCATTTTGTCATGTTTTATTGTATTCATTACCCTAAAAACATGTAACTTTTAATTGTAAAAGGAAAAGCAATTTTTTCTTCAAATAAAAAATATATGGCAGTATACTTATTTCTGAATAAAGCTGTAAATCCTGTAGATATCTAATTCACTATTAGATACTTGAAATACAATGTGTTACTTTGTTTTCAGATATTATGAACATGTCCTCTCATCCAACAATACAGAACACAGAACTACATTTAATCAGGTTTTCTCATTATAAAAAACAGAAATTAATGAATTCAGGCATTAATCTAGACTACAAAGTCATTTTGCCATCTGATCATGTAAAGCTTCATTAAACAAAAACTGAAAAATCATGATGTAAAATTCCAAATGTTGTATAGTTTAATGACACTTTTTGTTGCTGTCAATATCCAATCAACTTTCAGGTGAACTGCTCAAATTTTGCAGGGTAGCAAAGTAGACAAGGCTATCAGTTTCAACCAACAACTAAGCAGGTTCAGAAGAACCACAAGTTGCTACAGTTCTGAAAAACTAACACGGCTCAGTTTGGGCCTGGCCACCACCAACTCTGGGGAGTATGGCAAGCAACATGCACCAAAAGGTTTGGTGGTCAAACCAGCTCTCTTCGGGCTAGATGGAGCTTGTTACATATCTGTAAGGGTACAAGGATGAAAGATTGAGTTCCTAGATCCTAGGAGTGGCCATAATATTGGTAGATCTTGCACTATATCATGCTGTTAAAGTAAAACCACCACTATAGCCAGTGGATACCTATTTCATCATGACAAATTGCAATAGACAAGATGTCAGTGGATAGGAAAACCTCTGGCTGTGGCTAGATGTCACACAGAGGATGAATGTAGTGATCTACAACTATGGTTCTGTCATTGGCATCTTCGGGATAAACGTACTGTCAAAATAATTGGTAACTCTCACCTGTGCAGCAGCTGAACTAATTTTCCACAGGATAGTTATCTTATGTCAGCCAGATCAAGCCCAGAAACAGTGAATTGTGTAAGAGTAAGCAGCAGAAGGAATGACAGTACTTCTGTATACACAAATGGTGTTCTGTGGTTTACTCAAAATAAGGTTTAGGGCTTTGGTGCCATGCAAGTTACAAAATATCACATTTTCTGTAACATCATTTAAATTTTGAATCATAACAATAAAAGCAACCTTAACCAAATTACAAGACATTCACCATTGGTAAAATATATCAGATATACTTAATGGCCTATACAAAAATGAATTACAAAATTTTGATTTATTAAAACAATTTTAATTGAAGGGGTTTTGTACAACATAAATTGATAATTTCCACTGAAATGATACTAAGACAACTGTTTTGTAGCATAATTAACAGAGTACCAAGATCAACCCCTTAAAATATTTTCCTTAAATTTACATAAATCTCATATCCTGGTCCTCAGTGTATAACATAAAAACTTTCATCTCTGGCCAAAGTATAAATTATAACCTTACTCATATATACACTGCAGAAATCTATTTTTTGTTACTTACAACTTAGTGATAGTTATCAGAAATTCAGTAACTTATATGCCAAAAGGATTGTTTCTATATTTAATAATTTGCTGCAACCCCACATAAAAGTAACAACAAACAACCATACTTCACCACAAGTAAACAACACAATAAATTCATCTCCTGTAACTGCAAAATCACTTGTTTCTTACATAACACATCAAGATAAGATTTATCATTTGTTTAGAACTGTTAAACCTGAGTTATGAAAATACAACTTAGTTCCAAAAGATTCTATCTTTTCCAATTTAATATTAATCTTTAGTGAAATATCAACATCTTTCCATAATTTATGGAAACTACAAGTACTATGTTATACAAACTGTTGTAGGTAGCTTTAGAATTCTCAGTCTTTTATACAGGTTTAACTACAAAATCATTAATTATTTTCACTGAAACAGGATGCATAGTAGAAATTGTTTCATAGCTACGATAGAGCTACAAGTAGTTTTTCTTTTTGAAAGCATAGTATCTGTAGAAGACTAAACATTTTTGTGTAAGTGGTGTGATGGGTTACATAAATGCATACACAATGCTTATCTTCAGCATTGTGATGGAAGTTAATTCTATGGTTTAAGGCAGCTACCACTATATACTATAATCTATGCACAAAAAAATAAATACATGAAAAATGTTAGGTGGCATTCTTGATATCTTCTTGTCATGTTTTACACATGGCCCGGATTCTTTACAGTAGATGTCGTGACTTGTTGCCAATAAATTTCAATAAGAAAAAAAAAGTACACGGTTCACTTGTTTTGAAACAATATATTAAAACAAGTCAAACATATATACAAAATGTTTGTTAAACTACTGATTATCACAGTTGTATCCAGATCATTAACTAATTGTCTTTTTTTCATCAACATCCACATGGGCTGGTTCAGTTACTTTAGAACTCAATTAATAAGAGAAATTATCATTTTCTACTCTGTTATTACAATACAATCTGTGATAATTTCTCTTTAAAAATACCACCATATGCTCTTTATGGATAAACTCACAATCACGCAGTCTAGATCTATCTTTTAAATTATATTTTCAATAAGTATTTGTACCCAAGTTGAGGTTTAGAGCATTCCACACATTACTAGATATTATGATGCCATAATACTCAATTAAAACACAGAGAAAAACTCAGAAGGTTCTAGTAACATGATACAATAATATAGCAATTGCCAATTCATAACTATTGAACTACCCAATTTATGACTTGTAAACAGTTACATAAACAAACTTATGATAAACCATTGTTTCTAAAAGTAACTAAATTTAATACTCATGCTATATAAATGATACAACTCATAACTTTCACATCAAACTTAAACTGAAACAGTTATGTATATCAAACATTCTGTTTATTAATGGATATGTACATTACGCACATATATACATATGCAAAATAACATATTCAACTTTGTATAATGCTTTACCATAAAGTCAGATACATGCATGCAGACAAAAAATATTCACACAACACTTCACCTTACCTATTTAGTGACATATCTCTTCGCAGCAAAACAGTAATGGCAGCTGTGACCACACGAACCATATCAGTCTTTACCAGCTGACTATTATGCATTGGAAAGCCTAACAGAAGGAAGTCCAGAGTGCTTCTCTGAACTAAAACACTAGAATCCTGTACTGATGCGCATAAAGCTTGGACCTAAAAAAGTAAATGCAAAATAATAAATAGTAAACTTAAATTTTGTTTATAAGAACTTGCAATAAATGCTATGTAGAATATTTGTAAAATTTTTGTTGAGGGCAGTTTAGAAGTAAAATAATTAAGTACAACATAATTCTTACACTATACACTAATGCTTTAGCAGCTGCTAAAGTATTATATATTCTGAAAACCAAATTACAGGTGTCCATATGTGGAAATGAGAGAGTCTGAATTAGGAGTTAATACTTCATAAACTCATATACATCATTCATGCTCATTTATGTAAAACAAAGGTGTGAAGAGTCATATCAAGTTTTAAGTGTTTTTGACATTTACAATGTTGAACAATAAAATATTAAAGCTATTCACTTCAATGAAGTAATCTGTATGCTCATGTATAAACTACAAAAATTCCTGAACAAACATTTTATTGCCTTCCAATATACTAGGTAAAAATGTTTTTTGTCTCTGTTCTAGATTACTAAAAATGAACAGGTCTAAGCTGCAAAAGCTAATATGTGTATGAACCATCATTCAGACTCTCCAACGGTTCTGAATAATCAAGATGTGTAATTCATACCTAAATCTTCAAACACAGAAATGACATTAATTAAGATGGTTTCTTTATACACAGCTAGTATTTTAATTATTTTAAGTGTGAAAGAATTAGCATATTTAACAACCCACAGTGTTGTATAACCAACTTCTTCCACTGTACTATTCTCCAGTTCCAGCATTATGTGGATTAGGTTAAAAGGAGTATGTTCAGAATAAAGCCAAAGACACTGCAGCAAACACAGGTGTGAAAATGAGTAGCACATCAAGTGTTAATTTAAGCTACGACTGTATAAATATCTACGTGAATTAACAAAGAATGGTGGTGTGGAAGAAACAGAAATGGAAACAAGCATGCTAAACAGCTTAGAGTTATAACATGTTGAATTAGTATAAAGTGGGATTGGATGCTAGAGTTAGCATGTAATAAAGCACAACAGGCTAAGATGGCAAAGAAATATAACAGTTGCATGGTATTAGAAACTACATCTGTAAGGAAAAAAAAGAGAGACACAAAGCTTAAAGTAAAAATTTGATCAAGACTAAAAAAAAATCACAAGAATAAGAGTATCTCATATTTAATAACTACTCTGAATAAGAGTCGCTCATACTTATTAACTACTCTGAATAAGAGTCGCTCATACTTATTAACTACTCTGAATAAGAGTCGCTCATACTTATTAACTACTCTGAATAAGAGTCGCTCATACTTAATAACTACTCTGAATAAGAGTAGCTCATACTTAATAACTACTCTGAATAAGAGTAGCTCATACTTAGTAACTACTCTGAATAAGACTCTTATTCAGAGTAGTTATTAAGTATGAGCGACTCTTATTCAGAGTAGTTATTAAGTATGAGCGACTCTTATTCAGAGTAGTTATTAAGTATGAGCGACTCTTATTCAGAGTAGTTATTAAGTATGAGCTACTCTTATTCAGAGTAGTTATTAAGTATGAGCTACTCAGAGTAGTTATTAAGTATGAGCGACTCTTATTCAGAGTAGTTATTAAGTATGAGATTATTCGACTCTTATTCAGAGTAGTTATTAAGTATGAGCGACTCTTATTCAGAGTAGTTATTAAGTATGAGCGACTCTTATTCAGAGTAGTTATTAAGTATGAGCGACTCTTATTCAGAGTAGTTATTAAGTATGAGCTACTCTTATTCAGAGTAGTTATTAAGTATGAGCTACTCTCAAAATGAGACAACTTCATAGCATACAGGGCAGACAAACCGGGCCAAGGATAACAGAGAATACACACACAAATGATCAAATGATCAAAAACAAGAAAAGTAAGATGAATAGACAAATATAAATCCAATAAATGGTTGTTAACATTAGCAGGTTTCTAAAGGCATTAGTAATGACCTCAAAATCAGAAGGTAGAAAATATAGGTATTTAATAACTAAATGAAAGATAGAAATGGTAAATATCAAGTAACTGAGTGTCCACATGATGTGAAAACTGCCACGGACATTAGAAGAAATGCAAATAACAGACCAACAAAAAATAGACATACAATACAGTTATGCAATCTCCACGTATGCCTTAAATAAGTAAGGCCTCTAAACTATTATATTTCTGATATTGGTAGAAGCACTGCCATTAAAATTCATAGTGAGCAAAATTAACAGCATGAATGTCAATAAGAAAATCTAGCTTATGGCTAGAAAGCAGGGCTTATGTACATTCTCCTGATGTATGCTCAATAAATCACATAGAAAGTGAGAGAATGTAGAATTCTCGATAAGTTGATGTGTCTTCCATTCAGAATCAGAAGTACCCATCCCCAGTAACTGGAAAAGTTTAAGTTAATCTATCAATTTAAATTATTTCATGGACTTTAAAAAGGTGAATTGTGTTATACTCTGGGTTTCACTCAGAGCCAAAGCTCTGAGCTACTTACACCGCCCACCATAAAAACTAACTATTGAGGATTTCAGTCATGCTAAGAGCCACTCAACAATAATGTACGGTAAATCTACATTTTTAATCTTTAAGTTACATCACATCTTGAAGTGTGAATGATAGTGTGATTAATTATTAACAATTTAAATTTAGTGTAGAATATCCCACTTACTAAATACAATTTGGCATCCACATTATTCATGCCTGTTCTCCTGTCATTTCAAAAGTGAATGTTGAGCTTTGTCTGCATGCATAGCTTTTCAAACTTAGCACGGAAAGCAGCGGCCATAAACAGAAGACAGACAAATGCTCAGACAGACACCACTGTTCACAATATATATCTGATTGTATTGTTGACAGCATGAAAGCAACTCAACATGGAAAAAAAAAAGTTAAATGTACCCGATTTGAATTTCTAATTTGAGGATCTGAAGGTGAGTTTTACATCTCATATTATGTTCTGATTGTATTTCTCTGCTAATACAAAACTTATATCTACAGTTTTAATGTTACCATATCTATAAAAGTCCCCCCTCACTTTTAGTGTGTTTGTCACCTTAAATTATTTTAACCATTTATAAGGATGGTTCCACTAATATATTAGGTCTTATTTGCTTTCTGCCCTGCAATATCCTTACAACAAAGAAAAGAAATCAGCATTGTTTTTCTATATATCTAATTTGTAAACATAGTGCCAACTTTCATTATAATATCAAACAGAGTTGGGCATTTAACAAAACATACACTGCAAATGAAAACTACGGCAATATTCTTACACAGTGGTGCTGCAAGATGAAATGGGCTTAGGTTCAGAAGCCTCATTATAATCTGATTAAATATATTTTTAACACTCTTGTCAAGGGCAAATTAAAGTGCACATCTAACAACTTGTTGGAGTTCCATTCAGACTTTAACCCCCTTCCTTACCCATTTTTTTTCTAAATTTGTTCCAAAAGACATCATATTTTAATTTTCCTTTTTTATAAGTACACATCTAGGCAAAATGAAACAAAACATTTTGCAAAAGTGTGCTATGAATTTTATTATATCAAAAAAACAACAAAAAGCATATAATAAAGCTTTTATTATAAACCCGAGATATCTCATGAAATATAGAAAAAGTGTAAAGAAACTAATGTATCTACGTTTATTTGAATTAAATACCTTATACATGTAAAAAACAATTACACAACTTTAAACAATAAGAAAAAAAAGGCATCCTGTTAGACAGATATATTGTCAATAACATATTTAACTAACTCCTTGATATAGTATGGTAGATTCAAAAGCAAGGCATGACACAAGGTAATACATCATAGTCTGGAAAAAATACCTACTCTATCTTTCAATTCTCTTTCCAGTAACATCTCATTTTCTGATATGAACCAGACTATAAAAAGTTATAAGTTTTCTATACTGAAAATGTATTTCCTATAGGTAGGTACCTCCTCTCACATATATAGCTCTTCTCATTCAGTGCTGCCCTCTATATGCACTTTTTTTTTCCACATGCCAAAAGCCTTGAACTCCCAAACGCCCTAGGTTCAACTGCATCATGCATGAAAATCATCATGTGACAACCCTCCACAAATATGAGTGGATTCACCCTCTTGATGCATGTGAACCCCTCTGTTTGATTCTACCGAACTATCGCTTTGAGTTTTGGCAGAAAATACAGGCACCAGCTTTCAGTGGGAAGGGAGGAAATTAAGTATCTATTGAAAATACATTTTCAGTACAGGAAAATTATAACTTCTGATACAGTACATTACCTCCATTCACAGACATAGCTAGAATCCGAAATTGAATAAGTAAATGGACTGGTGTGAGGGAAAGATATATGCATCCTTCGAAAGTGTATAAAGAACACTCGAAAAGGGGAGATCCTCACAGTAGAGCTTTATACGTGGAGGACCACACCACTTCTGTACCAGGTATATTCTTTGCCCAGTGTGTGGAAAAACAGATGACACAGACAGAAAATGTGAAAAGGACATTCAAAAGGGACAGAACAATGGTTGGATAAGGGCCCGAACCACACGATATTGTAATCTCAATCCATTAAAGTACATCAATGTGGGTGAGAGTAAAAGAATGTGCCTCCAGGTGTAAAGTCAACTACATCCAAAACCTAGGCCACCAGGAACCAATATCCACGAGAGGGTAGGATGAGGATCATACTGCCAGCAAGTCAACGACATCCAAAACCCAGGTGACTGGGAACCAACATCCACGTGGGGGGTAGGATGAGGATCATACCGCCAGCAAGTCAATTACAACCCAAAACCCAGCCATCAGATGGGGGTAAGAAAGAAAATGATACTGTCTTCACCTCAAGTTCACCAGACCGGAGGGATATATCATACTAACCTATCCGTGAACAGGGCACATGATAGCAAAATGAGAAAAAGTTGTACCGATCCAGGAACCTGACATCCAGACAATTGAAAAAGTAAAGTTGTCCCTATATAGTGAAATATCTCACTCAAATCAATCAAACAGGAACCACTCCTAGCACAGTAACATCCT